TTTGGACATGTTTTCTACTTGTGAGCAGCTGAACATATTGCATATGGAACTAGTTTGGTGTGATGGTTCTGTGTAAATCAAGTAGCCACTATATTTATACTGAATCAGTCATAAACATTACAGATGTCTTGTGGTTAAATTATATTACCCCATCTTTTTATGTAAAACTAATCCCATCTGAATAGTGTATATTAGAGACGTGCAATGATATCGAAATCATATCGTTATTGGTAGGTATTTGCTTTAAAAAAAAAACACCGGCATTGGACAGATGTTCAGATTTGGCCAATATTTCAAACCGATATTTGCTAAAGTATTTATGGTACTCTGGAAAAGCAGAATGTTTGAATGACGCTGGGCAAAATTTTTGCATTTTACTGTAACCCTCTACAATATTAAGCATTTCTAATTTGTGTAAATGTTTATTTATCTGCATCATCAGTTATGTGCATGAAAAATATGCAAAACTCTTTTAAAATTTGACCTGCCTGCACCTTTGGCTGTTGAGTGAGATGAAATTCTCTTATGTATTGATATGATTTGTTATGCATCATGCATTGTTATTGTTTTTTTTATTTATTTTGTCTGATATGCAAGTTGACAAGACAATTTCAAACATATCAGTGAAGTTTAGTTTTTTGGAAGAGTGTCTTTAACGTTAAAGAGCTGGTTTAAAACACGTTCGGGAACCGTGGCATTCTTTGAGAGGTGGGAAAAAACAGAGCTATCAAACTGTTAGTGAACAGAAACTAAAAAACAAGGCAGAAGGGTCTAGTCTCCATCATGTGTTTGAATGGGGGGGTAGGAGGTGCATGGGGTGTTGTCCAGTGATCCATCGCAGTATTTTCTGGGTACTCTGGACTATCTACTGAAGTACAGTATGACACTGGAGTGTGATATGATATCCATTACTCATGTACATTGTTCATAGTCCAGTTACATATTTGCCAACTCTCATTTGCATAGACATCATTCATTGAATTGAAGGCAATAATGCAATTAAATTCACTTATAAATAATTTACTATGGGTCAGTTTAATTTAATTTATTATCCATTATTTCTGCTAGATTGAGAAACAGATGTATCTACAGCCTCTAGACATCTAAACGGATAACAGACAGTGTTGTGAAATTACATCTTAATCTCTCTGTTTAAAACTGTTAATACGTGATTTAATTTGTGTTTTGTTTTAAGATTTTTTTTTCTCCTTTAAAGAAATATGGTTAGCCCTATATTACACAGAGGAGAGAAGCTAGTGTGAACTAGCAAGTAGTTATTTGGTAACATTCCACTGATAGCTTCCAGAAATAATCAGGTTGTAAACACACTGTTTAATTCATGGGGCGTCACTCTTAACGCGGTAATTACCAGCTGCTGAGAGGTGGTGAAGAACACCAGTGGCTGCCAAGCCAGTAGTTTCAATGAATTCATTTAGAGCAATAAATCAACAACTGCAGTGGTTGGAGAAAATCACTGTAATTATATCATCAACGTTATCTTCAGCATTGCTTCATCTCTGGTAAAAAATCTCTGATTGATTAGTGATGCAGCAGCTGTTTATAGTTTTATTATGTAAGGATCATTTAACTGAAAAAAAGTGCTTTCCTTTGATTTGGACCCATTTCAGTGAAATTATTTTAATTCTTTTCGTTGTATGTGGATCTAAATATAGAGAGTGGCAAGTATGCAAAACACTTCTGGGTAACACTTTACTGTAGGGCAGTGTTCGTAAGTCTACACCAACATAAGACCTTAATGACAACTGACATAATTTTGAATAAACATCTATACTGAAGACATAACACCTACATCAAGTGACGCTGATTTTCTGTGACTTGTACATAAAATGAGTTTCAGTTTACCATATAAGATCTAAGCTATGCCACATCATCAGAATTATGTCACCGTGATATAAACCAATGAACCAAAACATTACGATTACTCATAGGTAACGCTGATTATCTCATAAAAGCACATGCCAAGGTCTGGAATACATTAGACATTAAGCAAACAGTCGGTTCTCGGAGTCGACATGTTAGATGCAGGAAAAATGGGAAGACGTGAAGACTTGAGGGACCACAAGACTGGGGACTGCTCCCAGTCAGCTGTGGTGAGTACCTACCGACAGTGGTCTGAGGAGGGACAAACCACAAAACGCCAACAAGGTGTTGGGCGACCAAGCCTTTTCGATGCGCAAGGGCAACAAAGGCTATCCCGTCTAGTCTGAACTGATAGAACTGATGATACTGTGGCACAAACATTTTTAATGATGGTTATGGGAGGAGTGTGCTATAACAGTGCATTGCAATCTGCTGTGTATGGTGCTGCAATGTGAGTACCCATGCTAACCTCTGTCCACCGTCTAAAGCACCTACAATGGCTATGCAAGCATCAGAACTGGACCTTTTCCAGGTATTCATGTGGACGTCAATTGGACGCACAACCTAAACATAGCTGCAAATCAAGTACACCCATCAAGGCGATGGTATTCCCCTTCAGTGGCTTCTTTCAGCTGGATAACGTGCCCTGCAACACTGCACTCATTGTTTACGAAAGGTTTGAGGAGCATGACAAAGAGTTCAAAGTGTTGCCCTGTCCTTCAAATTCACCAGAACTCAATCCAATTGAGCATCTGTGTGATGTCCTGGAGCAACAAGTCCAACCTGTGGCAGCACCACCATGCAATTTTTAGGACTTAAAGGATCTGCTGCCAACATCTTGGCACCAGGTACCACAGGGCATTTTCAGAGGTCTTGTAGAGTCCACACCTTGGCAGTTCTGAGCTGTTTTGCAGGCACATGGTTGAGCAACAGCATATTAGACATAATGTTTTGGCTCATTGGTGTACACTAAACTACAAGGTCAGTTGTTTTAATGTTTCAATGTCCTTTCTCCCAAAACAGTGTCTGTACACCTAATGTCAGAAAAAATCAAAGTCAGCTTGACATCAAAGTTGACAAAAGCAGCCTTAATGGCAGATGATGCCTACTGCAATAAGCCCTTAGAAATATTTTGTAGACTTACGTCAGTTGTCATGATGAGCTTATGTATGTGTCATGTAGCCTTATGAACACTGCCCAGCAGTAAAGTGTTACCCAGTTCTGTAAATAAAACTGATTCACATGCATCCTAATGACTAAATTTTATATTCCAAAACCTAAAGAAAAACCAAAAAAGACACAGCTTTGCTAGAGAGAGCACTATGGTGGAAAAGAGAGAAAGAAAAGTAGCAGAGGAGAGAAGGAGAGTCATGAAAGAGGAGGAAAATTGGAGAAGAAGAAAAAGCGACTAGCAGTTTGCTGGAGTCAGATAAGCCGCAGTAGGTTTATCTGAACTGTGGCTGCTCGAGGGAAGCACTTACCCCTCAGTCCAGCTGCAAGAGAGCAGGTTGGAAAAGGGACAAACCAGAACAGCCATAAAGACGTGAACAGAGGCAGGGGAAAAGAAAAAAGCAGACATACAGCACTGCGCAAAAGTCAGAGACCACCCTTCATTATTTAATTTATAGTCAAATCAGCCATTATGTGTCAGTTATTCTGTTTCCAAAAGATATTTCTGAGGAGATTAGATATAAGACAATCGATTTGCATAAGGGGAAAAATGAAAGGAAAATAAGTCAGTGTGAGAAGAATCGATGTGTCTGAAAGGATGTGTAGCTGTCAAAAAGCTGTTACTGAGAAAAGGAAATAAAAAAAAAAAATTGGCAAATCAAACAAAGAAGCTTCTGCTGTTCTCGGAACAATGGACCCCAGAGTCCAGACCTCAGCATCATTTAATGTGTTTAGGATTACTGAGATTGTTAGAGGAAGAACATTCAACCAACTTCTAAGACTGAACTTTGGAGGTGTGGAAAAATATGCAGATTTCTTTGAAAAACTGAAAGCAAGTCACCTGAAAAAATTAACACTGTATTAAAATGAAATGTGGTCACACTAAACAGATTATATTTAATTGTTGAAGCTTTAACAATTTCTACTTGACACTGGAAAATGAAAAACTTGTACTTAATGGCCGTTTTGACTGGAAATTAGGTACTCAAATGGTGCTCTCCGACTTTTTCACAGTACTGTACACACACACACACACACAAACACACACACACACACACACACATAAACACACACACACACACACACACACACACACACACACAGACACACACACAGAGCTACACAAAGACCCTACACATGGGCCAGAGTACCGCACATTACAGTAAGCAAAGCATGGGAGAAAGAGAAAGAGAGAGAGAAGAGAAAGACACAGAGAGACAATATACATACATATGATTACACCATACATACACAACTGATTAAGCAGGGCATGAAAGAGAAATAAAAAGAAAGAAGAGGAAAAGAAAGAAGGAAGGGTGTGAAAGAAAGACTGAAGAAAGAAAGACTGAAAAACAAACTCAGCGATGGCATTGGACTCTATGAGCAGATAATAATATAGAAATGGAGCATACAGAAATGGAGCATTGGTGGGCAGCCAGGTAAGACTGAAAAGAGAGAAAGGCTGAAAACCAGATTTAAAAGAATGGAAGTGGTAAAAAGATGAACAAATCAAGATGAAAAGCAAAAGAAAATACTGACCACTTAACTACGCAATCAGCAAATAGCGTACTCACTACCATCTTCAACTTATCCGCACGCTAAAAATAAAGGCTTTTGATTGCTCTCGTAGGAAATAAATAATGAATGATGAACTACAGAAAGTTAGATGCATCTAGTGTCTAATCATCTAATGCATTTAATGAAAGTGATTGCCACACATTGTTGTTATTGTAAGAAAACCATTATTTTTCTTTTATAATAAGCTGCTGCCCTTTACATTGTGAACAATCCATGACAAATTGACCAATTTAAATTTGCTTTCAATAACAAATGATAAGAACAGTTTTCCGTCTCCTATAAATGTACCAGTTCTGAGAAGTTTTCTTACAATGGCAGTATGTATATAGGTGTATGTAATATTGTTATATACAAATCTAATCCATACTCACAAAACTGTGAGATTGGCGCGTCGAGCTGCGGCGCTGTCCCTCCTTTAGCGTTGAGTTTCTGGACCTGGGTTGGGGGGACCGGTTTGTGGGACTGACCCGTGGCCCTGTACATGGCCTGCACCCACAGGATCCGATCCTGCTCGTCATCGCTGGCGAATATCACAGTGTCTCCCTCCTTCACTGCATTAAAGAACGTCCTTCCACCATCCAAACCTACACCAACAAACAGACTTTTCATAAACAACAAGCTAAAGGGGATTTCCACCCTAAAAACTCTGCATATTTCAATTGTTAAGCTGTAAACAGAGTCTTTCAGAGTGGTCTGATGTGAAATGGTTCATTGTAGAGAAGCTTACCAACTCATTCCTTTGCAGTATTGGTGATAAGAACTGGGAGTTGTGATGTGTATAATCTATAAATTAAATATCCAATCCTATATGTATTAAATATCCAAAATTAACAGTGAACACGTGTCTTCTGAGTTTTCAGACATAATGTGGATTTTAAAAAGTATATTTTAGGACAAAAACTATCGTAAAACAACGTCTGAGACGTCTGGCAGCATATTTGTAACCATTTTGTATAATAACTGTGAGGGAGCTTTAATTGCCATTAAACTCTTCAGTTGTCTGGTTCCTATCACCACCACTGTGAACAACTCAGTAAGTTTCTCTAGAACTGAGCATTTCACACCAAACCACTCAGAATGACTCTGCTAACATCTCAACCATTTAATTAGGCAGAAATTTTAAATCTGTGGAGTTCCACTTTGTAATGTACATTGAAAAAAAAGATGAATTCAAATATGTATCTGAATCAAATATATCACATCAACACATTATTGCCAGAAGTAAAACTGAAAGACAAAATAATGTTGACATAATATATTTCATTAATGTGAAAAATGGCACAGCACTTTCATAAAAGTCCACATAAACACATTATATTAACTGTAAAAGTATTATTTTGAAACAGACAGATCAAATAGGTAGAAAAATAAATAGTACAGTCATGTTTTCCATTAGTAAGCTAGATCCCTAATAGTGTTGTTTTTATGCAGATAATGCAGTCACAGTGAACCCATTAAAATTATTCACACGTTTCTTTTCTAATTCATGAAGTTTTCACATTTTCATTTCCCATTATGATAGATTGGACGTTCTCATGATCAAGATGGATGGAGACTAATTTCATGTACAAAGAGTCACTGGGTTTAATTAAGACATAATTGAGCTTAACCAATCCATTACATGTGTTTGTTTAACGCTAATAAATGGAGTCACTTTGAGCCTCTCAGCCGTAATGGAGAGAGCTAACAGAGGACAATCCACCTCATGGTCAAGACTGAAGAAAGAGACAGATGGTTACTTCTTCTGTCCCAAAAGAATCGTCACATTAAATCCTGAGATGCGTTGAATGTCCAGTCTACATAAGGCAATAGTATGACTCAAGACTATTTATGTATTAATCAAAGCATTAAAAATGATCTCCTGAAGAGCCCATATCCTTATTTTTTTCTTCTAATCGTTTTCCTTGAGGTCCACGTACGTCAATTGTGTGGTTTTATGTACAAAACAGTCATAATTCATTTTTACATGACCACTTTCAAACTTCTGTTACTGAACCTTTAAGACTATATGTAGATATACATGTAAATGAGCTCTGTTCTGACAACTGTAAGTCCATATTGCTCCATTGTGTGTCATTCAAAAAATCATCCAGCATTCAGAACAAGCTGTTTTTGCAGCTTATTGTCCATATATGGGCTGTATGGACTAAGGGGTGAATGGTAAGTTTTGAATCTTTAACTATATTTATATACTACATAAACTCTTTTATTGCAAAAAAGTGAGGAAATCCAATTTCCCATAATGATTTGCTAAAAATTAGCTTTTTAAATTTATTTCTTTTCTGGCCGTTTTAACTCTCTGAGTAAAATGTCAATTTGTTCAAACAGTAAACTTGCTCAGAACTTATCCTTTGCTAAAATGCTAGGCTAAAATACCTGCATTTTATTAAATGTACTGCATGAATAACTCTATACACTTGTATATGTGTTATATTTCTCGTTAATGCTTATCCAGATAGATGTAGTCCCAATTTATACATTTTGTAAATGTTTATGTATTGGTCTTGCATGTTTGGGCACCCATGAACAAACTGGCCAGGCTGCGTAAACTTTTGTACATAAATGTAAATGAAATATAGGATATCGGTATCAGCCCACAATCCCCATATCGATGCATCACTAATTAACTACTGCATTCTCTTAAAAATCAAAGAGCACCGACTGGGACTGTGTGCTGTCCGTAAAATAAAGAAGCATTGTTATGGGCTGGAGTTACCTGGCTGAGGGTCAGTATAATCCACAGTGTATCCATCCAATTGGAGCAGCTCCACAGGCTCCGCCTTCTTCTCTCTGTAGCTGCACATGGCAAAGGTGTACTGACTCACCTGAGGACAGGAACATTAGGAGGTTAACACACAGCCACACGTACCACACATGTACACAAAGCCACTGCTTGTAATATTTGCTAGCAGTAATGCTAGCTTTGGTGTTGACTCAATGGCCAGGGCCCACCGGTCGGCCCAAAGTTTTACTACACACTTCTATAACCTAAGAATATCTCAGCTAGTTTGCACTGTAGTCCATGTAGTTACTAAGCCTTAGTATGTAAAAAAGCCTGAGATTTTAAAGGGTTTCACTAGCATCAGTGATACCTGCTTGTACAGACTCCAAGGCAGAGGAATCAAACTATCAGCCCATGGGCCACATCTGGACAGTCACATATTTACAATTTACCCTTAAAACTAGCCCACAAACACTTTTTCTTGTTTTTTAAGCAGCTAGATTTTCAAATGTAATATTTACACATAGATTGGATTGACCCACTAGTTATTGTGGCTGGTTTCCCAAAATAAGCTGTATAAAATCAGCTTTTTGGGCCAATGCTTACAATGTTAAAAGCAAAAACAGAGCTCTGCATGCAAGTGAAACCATTCAAATGGAAATGCGACATAGCATGAGCTGTGCACACAATAGCTATTATTCACATTTAAACTGATAGTTATTTAAATGTGCCTTCTTGGATTCATTCATGCTATAGCAGTAGATACAGCTTGTCAGAATTAAGAAATGACTGGAATTATCAAATAACTAATAAGCACCCAGATTCACTCACAAAAACTTCACTCATGTTCAGCAGGAATGCTATAACAGTCCCATATAATTCTACCCTGAAATGTAAGTTCATGTGATTTTATTGAACACAAAAATATTGATTAAACCTGTTTTATTCATAATGCTACTAGTAGTAGTAGTAATAATTGTGTTTTTTCAGTGATGGAAGAATTGCTAATAAACATTGAAATGCATTTAATTGCATAAATGATTGTATATATGTTATAGTCAAAAATTCACACTTTAAAAAAACAATTTTCCCTGCTTTCTTTTTCAGCTGGCCCCCCTACCTGGCTAGGTAATTTGACTTTGAGACCCCTGCTCTAAGATCTGTGCACGTCTAGTGTTTCTAAAGGTGTTTGTGTTTATTTACACACCCTTGGCTGAGAAAGAGGCTAGGGTTCAAGTGATGTGTGTTTGTGGTGGTTTCAGGGCAGGTTGCCGTGGCCACCGGTAGGGCGGGCTCGGGCACTGCCAATCAAACGTGAGTGACGGACGAGTACGGGGATGACACTCTGTCAGGGTGAATGCAAGCCAGGCTGCTAGGTGCCAGTCACACACAGGCACACACACACACACACTCTTGCCACCACATCCATGAACACACTCCTGTCAAGCCCTCCTCTGTCATATCAGGGCCATCCGCATCAAACCGGCCAATCTGGCGCCCCCCGTCACCTCCGCTGCAAGTGGCAGCTTTCTCTCACTCCGAGCCCAGGCCACCGCTCAGAGTGACACCATCAATTCAATGTCATGCATGTGATGGGGGTGGGGGGGTGGGGGGGTGATGCGGGCTGCCTCGCGGCTTTCAACCCGGCTCTTCGGCAAGCTAAGCGCCTTCGGGACACCGCTGGGGCGCACGCCCCCCTTCTCTCACACACACTCCCGTCAAGCTTCCCCCTTCCTGTCACACTGGGGCGCTAAAGTTTGAGGCGGGAGTGCCTGTCTGGTGTGGTGGAGGCTCCCCCGCGTTAGCCGGCGGGTCAGCTGACCTGCTGTCAAAGTGACTGTTAAAGGATTTTAAATGACTTCTTGCTCCCTGATTAGCCCGGCATGCCTTTGCTCTTTTAAATAACCTTGTTATTGTTGACGTTCTATAAATTGCATTGTGCGTGGGAGAGAGAGTGAGAGAGAAACGCAGAGTGTCGGGCGAGACGTAGCTCCAATCGATGAGGTATTATTGGCTGCCGTTACCCGGCTGTGGGAATGCAGCAGAGAATGCCAGACACCCCCCAGCCATTCATGGACATTACCATATTCAGAGGCTAAAGACTGAGCGCGCAAGCCGGAACTCCAGAGGAAGAGATGGAGAGGAAGAGGAACAGTCAGAGGAAAGGGCGAGGGAGGAGGGAGGAGGGAGGGGGTCAGAGAAGGAGACGGCCAGCTGTTCTGCAGCGTCGCCCGCAGACTATGGAATAATTAGACTTCACTTTGCATCATAAATATTTGGCTTATGCTTTCGGTTCAGCCGAGCACCGCTGGGAGCTACAGCCGTGCTGCAATACAACAGACAGCTGGAAGTATGAGTGTAAGATGGAGAAGGAGAAGAAGAAGGAGGAGGAGGAGGAAGAGGTGGAGGAGAAAAGAAGAACAAGAAGAAAACAGTAGTAGTAGTACAAAAAAAAATTAGAAGAAGAAGAAAAAAGAAGGAGAAGAAACAGAAGAAGAAAAAGTAGATGAAAATTGTGAATGGCGAGTAAGATGAAAGGAAGAAGAGTGAAGAGGAAAAGAAGAACAAGAAGAATATCAGGAACAAGAGGAGAGAAGAAGAAAAAGAATAGAAAGAAGAAGATGAAGAACAGGAAGAAGAAAAAGGAGAAGAAGAAGAACAGAAATCAGAAGAAGATGAACATGATGAAGCAGAACAAAATAAAAAAAGGAAAAGAAGAAGAAGAAAATTTAGAAGAAGAAAAGTGAGATGAAAATGAAGAGGAAGATGAAGCAGAAGAGAGAGTAGAAGGAGAAAATGGAGATGGATATGAATAAGAAGATGAAAATTGCATATAATAATAATAAGACAATGAAGAAAGGAGAAGATAAAGAAGGAAAAGGAGACAAAGAAGAAAAACAACCAAAAAAAAGGGGAAAAAAAAGAAAAAGATAGAGAAAAATCTGAATGGGAAGAAGATGAAAATGAGGTAGAGAAATAAGAAACATGATTCTGCAGAAAGCTGTAACTAAGACTGGTCACTGAACTCTGACGTGACTGACCAAATGCACTCTTATACATCGTACAGCCTCATAACCACACCCAGGCTGCACAGCTACAGTTCGACTCCTTCCTACAGCCTTCGCTGTTCTTCAGCATTTGGCGTAAAACGGCTGCTGTCGTCTCTTGAATGCCCGCCTCTATAGGACGCGCCACAATGGCTGTGCCAGCATCCATCAAACAGGAGCTGTAACCGATCTACCCAACCCTGTAATTAACCACTTATGAATAATTTAACAGTGAATGACCAGCCCTGCCCTGAAAGCAACCGCCCAGAGTGAGCACAGAGCTACACGTGTGGAATGGAATCACAGCCAGAGCCAGTCAAACGGTCAAGATTATTTCAGTTGGAGGTCTATGCAACCAAAAAAACAGAAATAAGGTTATTCAGTTAATGAATTATTTAAATAATCTGCATCGAAATCACAACGTTACATTTCGACTTTCAACTATAATTCAGTGTATGTGACTGGACTGAGATTGAGATTGATGTCAGCAGAAATCTTAAAGTACATTTGAATTGTGAGCTAAACAATTACTATGACATTGATATTCATTTTGGGTTATTTTTTTCTTTGCACTGCTCTTTACAACAGGCTCTTTGGCCCAAAGGAGGAAACCTTTGATTGCTTGAGTGCTGATATCACAATAGCAGGGAAAAATGTGTGGGTTTTTCATTATTTCCCAAAGTATGACCGTCACAAATGCTGTAATAAATATTTAGGCAGGTAAAATTTTTATTCAAATAAACCTGCATTGTCTTTATTATGTTGCATTATTATAGAAAGTGGCAACCTGTGACTATTACAGCTAGGCTTTCATTCTGGGAAATAAATATGAAAACTTTTTTTCATGGGATTCTAATAGTACATTAGCTTTAAGCTAACAATGATTCACATGAACATTTTTTGGCCATTCTAGATTAAACACAGACATCTAAAGTTTGTGAAAGATATATTAACAAATATTTTACCTTGTGTGTTGTAGTTTAACTGTGACTGTTTCAGTAAAGAGCCCTGATTGAGCTGCTGTTTTCCATTCCTAACAACTGACTGAAACATGCTGATCAGGCTACCAAGGCCTAGAGTGACCTTTGTTCTCACAAAATTGGTTCCACTTAAAACATGATTGGTGATTTCACTGTCACTTCTCTATTAAGTTAGTTGTTCATCTTCAGTCCTTCAGTTCAGCTCCTGAAGTCCTAACCAATGGGAGAGCTCACTCGGTTGTACCTACCTAGATACCACAGAGGGAACAAAATCTGACTGGGTAATTTTCCGTTGGCCATTAAATCTTTTTTTTTTTAGCTGAAAACTCAACAATGGAAAAAGGGTATTGCTAGAATATTTGCAGAGTTTTAATGCAACAACTATCAAATAAAAATGAATAACAATCACAGATATGCATTTTTTTTGCTTCACAGAAATCTTTAGAAGGCCTCCTCTGACAAAAAGCTCAGAGTCCCGAAACTTTTGAAGGGCAGTCTATTCGGACAAAAAAAAAAAAAGAAAAATACAACACTGAATAATCAGACTGTCTGTTCAGTTTTAAGTGGTACATTTAAATGCAACATTCACAAGTGCATTTACACGCTGCATTCAAAAGAGTGGAGGAGAGCCGTGACAGATGGAGTCTCACACGTTCGCCGCGACGCTTCCACGAGACTCGTCACGACAAAACCAGAAGACATGACGAAAAAAGAAAGAAGAAAATAAACAAATACCAATGTGTGAAACTAAACAAAACAGGAGAAAAAAAAAATCACCCAAAATAAAAAAATAAATAAAAAAACAGAGGGTCCGCAAAAAGCGCATTCTGGCACATTCTCTTATGTGCACACACACTGACATTCAGAAACACAAACAGGGCGTCTCGGAATGTTTTTGCTCGCATGCACACTGACACACGAAAACACGCACACAGACAGATAAACAGGGGCAGTCTATTGACTGTAGTTTGTCATTTGCTGAACATGTGGCCCGGAGCATGTGGCAGGCTGTGCTGGCTGCGAGTGTTGAGCCAGGCAGCGTACGCTTTCCTCCATCAAAACCAGCCTGTCAACTTTTAGCTCTCGGACATGCTGCAGCCTTCCACAGAGCAGCCCAGTATACGCCACGATGAAAAAAAACAGGGACAGAAATAAACCAACTACAGCCAAGCGTCTGAGGTGCGGTGCTTTGCCTGCAGATTTGGGCTTCTCTGTTGAAAGTATATGTAAGTGTTGGGGTGATTTTATCAAAAAATCAATAAAATCGGCACAATTTTATCAGTAAGTATTGATATTGTTGTCATTTACACACATTTGTATGGATTTATGTCACAATTCATTTCTACATGACCATTTTTTAGCCTTTTTTGCACCTCATTCTTTGTATCGTGCATTATTCAAAAAAAAATAGTCCGGGCAGTGAATCACTCCCTATAACTTCAGTGTGAGTGGGCAGAGCTCAACAGCTGAATAGGTGGACATATGAAGGGTTTTGTTCCAAAACTCATTATAAAGCACTTTAAAGAATTTTCTTTTTTTCATGTTATACATTGTTGGGGGTGGGCTTCACACATCCAGTAAATATCAATGCTATATCATAATTAATTTTTTATTAGAGAAAAAAAATGTTTTCCATCATACATCAGATGTTATTCTTTTCAAAAGTCCATTATATCTAAAATTGTTACAAAAGGATATGCAGCATTTTGGAATGAATCTCTTCATATGTAAATGTGTTGGTTTTTATGGCATCACATATATATATATGGACTATAATGGACTGGAAAGAGAATGGTATCTTTTGAAACTTGTTGTTTATGTTTATATACTGAAACAAAGACTTTTATTACAAACTTGTGAGGGAAAATTCAGTTTTTCACTATAATTACCCCCCTAAAAACAGGTTTTGTTTAGTATTCAGTATATACAAGGTAGTTTACATTTGCGCCAGAGGGGGCGACAAAGCCTCACCATGTATTCACATCACAGAAAAGTGAGGCTATTTTAGTTTTGGGGGATTCTGGGAGCTGCAGTGGCGCAAGACAGCAACAAAAAGGTTAACTTTCTTCAACATTTTGCAAACGAAAAGTGAGTTTCAGAGCACAGAGTTACATCACATCCACATTCATACACTCGCTGAAATAACTGTTGATAGAAGATTTGTCAAAGTTAAATGTGTTAAATGTTAAATTGTTAAATGTGACTGGCACCTAGAACTTTGCCCGGGCAGCTAAACTTGTTCATATTTTAGCTACCCACCCACAAAACAGTGAGGTAAGTGCTTCACTTCAAGGCAGTGTTAATGCAGCATTAATGCCTTTGCACAGTGAACACACTGCGAATAAATGACATGAAAATGTGAAATGTTCAGACGCATCAAAACTGATGCATTTTTTTACTTTTGCCATTTTTTTTCACTGCAAATGTTTTCAAGCTACCAAAGGATATCAAAATGGGCAAGTGTTGACACTGGGAATGTTACTATCCAAAAGGGACCCAGCCGATCCATTGATCTTGGTTGTTGTTGTACCAACACCAGAGACAACCATAATTGGTCAAGTGTGTTCATTTTGCCTGCAAAAGTTCACGGGCAAATGAAGGAATGCATATATTGGGGATATTTACTTTGCAAATCTCTGCTATCTGAAGAAAACCATCTCCATTTTTGTTTTTCAGTTTTTGACATAAATTTCATGAAGAATGGACCAAAAGAAATGGCACAGAATTACTTGGAAAATAGTCTGGTTCCATTGACTTACATTAAAAGTAAAGCATGTTTTTTCCTTCTCCTGTAAAATGATCATTTTGGAGAGACAAGGTTTTCTTCCGACAACAACGATATAGAAAGTAATTTAGACAACTAATCAGCAGATTAGATTTTAGAACAAGTGTTGCTTATTGCCTCCTGGATGCTGATAAAACTGAATACTTAGGTATTGAAATTCAGTACTAAATGACCATTTTATGATTCTTAATAGTATTTAAGTAGTTTGGTTATCATGAAAAGTGTTGAATTTCCAAACCTAGCTCTAGTGGCAGGTAAAATAAATATCCATAAAGGAATAAACATTAATGCATGTCCAGACTCGTTTACTCTTTCAGAATTATTCATTTCAGCCGTAAAATCTGCCATGTTAACTGTTTTTTGACTATTTGAACATATATTAGTCTTTAATAATCAAAGAGCTTCTTCAAGAACTTTAAAAAACAGATGTAACTCATTGTCATTTGTGACTAAGCATCTTTGTTTTTGTTCAGAAAAAAAAATATTAAACAAGGATTGCATGCAAATTCTTTGGTATGCTTATGCATGACAAAAAAAAAACATTCTAAATTCAAGCTATTGATTTCACATCCTTCGTAGATAATTATCATCAAATCAATAAGTGATCTCAGCTTTAGTATTTGAACAATATAGCTGTAAAAGCTGTGCACCTTGGCAAACCAAGGCATCACTGTAGGTGACATATTCCCATCCAAAGGGATGCAGACTGAAAAAAAGGAGGGAAGAGGGTTGGGGGGGGGGTACACACCTGCACCAAGACAAAGAATCTTTTCTTCCACCTCTTCCACACATTTTTCCCAATAGCCCAAAGGTATCTGCACAAAGACATGAAACAGATGTCAAGATAGATGGAAGACTTTCAAGATATGTTATACAGCCTCTATTACACACTCCTCTGGGGCAAAGAACTGAAAAGCTAAAATTTTAGATATTAACACATTTACTCACAGTTTATAGTGAGGTATACGGATATATATCATATTGGATAATTCACATATTTGCTAACTGTTATACTTGTCAGTAGAATGAGGGTGAATAACACATCAAAAGAGACAGACAGACAGTCAGCATGAGGGGTAGACAGTAAGTATGGTGATGTTTGCAAATGGGTGTTTGCTGCCCTCCTGTGGTGAAAGGGATCAGGTCCAAGGCACTATTGGAGTAGCATGACCTTTAATGCAGCTGAAGCTTCTGGATGAAGAAGTACTTAAAGGTGTTTACAGGTATAGCAGTGGTACAGCAGTATATATACACTGATAGAAATAAAGGTTCTGTGCAGGTACATCTTTCGTTCATCAAGGTACAAACAATGTAAATATACACCCAAAGCTACAACAGTGGTTTTAATATCCAATTGTATACCTTAAATAAGTTTTTCCAGGTGAAAAGTACACATTTATACATTTTCATAATCTAATGTTTTAAAACAGAACAATAAAATAAAAAGCCTGGAGATGAGACGGGGTGTGTGGAGTCAATACAACTTATATAATATAATTTCAGTGTCCACCTTTTGCCTTTATTACAGCTCCTATTCATTTCAGGAGACTTGCTTTCAGTTTTTCAAAGACATCTGGAGAGATATATTTCCTCCAAAGTTCCCTCTTGGAAGTTCTGTGCATTTTTCGTACTTTGTGCTTCTCACAATCAAGTAATTCAATTACAAATTTGGATTAATCAGTCCATAAAACCTCACTCCACATCTCAGATGTCCAATTTCAGTGTTCTAGCGCAAATGTTCTTCCTTTTTATAGCAACGGCTTCTTGACAGCTACACGTCCTTTCAGACCCATAGTGTTGAGTTGTCTTCTCACAGCAGAAGGATGGACAGAAACAGATCTGAAGCATAAGCTGGGCTTGATTATCTGTACCGTTTATCCTATTGGGACAGTTTTGGTGGTCTACCAGGCCTTGCGTGGTTGTTAGGAGTCCCAGAATGTACTGATAGATTTGATTTTAAACTTAGTGTTGGAGATTTTTGTGTAATGTTCTGTTAAATATTTGCTTCCTGCCTCTTTTCTGACACTGAAAATAGCTTGTACTCAGTGGCTGTTTTCACTGGAAAGTCAATAAACAAAAGAATGGCCTCTGACTTGCTCAGCACTGTATGTGTATTTACTCTTTATTATTTCATGTATATTATATATATATATATATATATATATGTATATATATATATAATTGTGATTTCATTTTAATTATATTTGCATACTGAGGTTCATGTGTGGACTGAGCTGGTTATTTTGTTTGTTGTTTATGTGTAGGCTACCTCTTATTGTATTTCAACAAAAAGAAGATGTTGTATAATAAGGGCTCCAAACAGGGTCATGGAACGAAATGAATGGCATTTTGCTTGGAACAAAAACATCTGTTCTGGAACAGATCTCTTGACTGAAGCAGACAGCTGTATTCAGAAGAACACTTTATAATGTGGGTTGTATCTGAGACCCCTTCCCCAAGTGGATGAATTTGGCAATTGCAAGCTCATTAAAAATAATTCGGATAGAACAAAACTTGGTGATGGACTCCTGAGGATGTGACTGAATTATCTACTATTATCATCATATCTTTTTTTCAACTTTGCATTGACTCAGTCATGCTACTTCTTTCAATTTTAACAAAAAAATCATACATCATGCAGCTTGAAGGAATGCGCAAAATAGATAACCAGGCCTGTTTGTTGTTTGCTAGTCGTTATGATAGCATACATAGCCTAACAAGTGCAGCAAAATGTTATCTATGCTATAATAAACTCTGGTAAACAATTATTGGCTATGACAGCTACAACTCTGTGCAAAGATTTGTATTCCTTCTGGTCAAATTACATGTTTTGTTGAAGTGAAAATAGGTTTACACACCTTCTACAGGGAACAAACTTAAATACTAAATTTCTATTTATTTACTGAGTTAAAAAAACATGAAAAATAACATTTCCCATAAATTTTGCAGAGGTCACTTTTGATGTTTTTTTACTAATATGTTAAATTAAGCAAATAATCAGTAATATTGCATTAGGATGTGCAGCAGTGTCTCCTCTGTAGAGGATGTGTTTATGTATTGTAACTTGGAAAATGAACTAAATGTAAATTGAACAGGGTACCAAATTTTTGTATACAGTTGTTCATTTATGAGCAACGGACTGACAGTAAAATTCCATAGCCTATGCACATAAACATTACTTCGTCAATATAAACACAACTGCCGAATCTAGCAGCTTTCTAAAATATAATATTTAATTATTAGGCCTACATAAAGCCTGCATGGGTCTAAATGATCTCTTGCCTTTTTTTAACCCATGTAAGAAGATTCTGGACCGGAACCACAGAACGGAAATGTTAACATATTGGTTCTGCTGCTGATTATAATAATAGACAGTGTCATTATGCTAAACACTACATTATATTTGTCATTATAACACCTATAGTGTTATAAGGCTTTTATGCTATAACACCATATAAAATTTGTCATTATGACAGATTCAGTGTTAAACTGCTGTCTTATAATAAGACTGAAGTAAATTTAGTTCTAGTGTATTTGCTGTACATATACAAACCAGGAAGCCTTTACTGCAGGCATATGGACGGCTTTTCAGTATCTAAACGCAAAGGAAAAAGAACATCTGGGGCTACAAAGTCAAGCAGGCCGTCCTTTGCCCACATCAGGCCATAACTGTGCCAGCGTTTCCCCCACTGGTGTCGTTAAGGGGACGCTGGCACGTTGCTCTAAATAAACAAGCTCCCGGGGCACGAGCGGTTGCCGTGGCACAGGGTTGCCGGGAGACGGAGTGAGGCAGTGGTCGGCACGGGGAAGGGGATTAAGGCAAGTTTCTGCAAGCAGCATAGAGCTCTGAGGGCCACATAGGAAACATATGGAGGAGCGTTAGCCAATCAGACTGCAGAGAGAACTCCAGGGCAAAGCCATGATCAAGCCCAAAGCCCGAATGTGAGAGTGATTGAAAGAGATAAAGAGAGCGAGGTTTGCACTGTCTTAGCCTTTCAGAGCTGCTACATCACCATCTATCAAAATGATCATTCTGGTGATAGATATGCCTTTCAAACTGAGGCAACTGCAATGCATTGAAAAAATTGGGGCTTTGAATTTACATGATTCAACAGTGTCAACATGCTTTCTTTATGTGAAACCAAAAACATGTACAATTCAAAGCATCATTTTTTCCTAATGTAATTTAGTTTCCAGTCAAAATAACCGTTAAGTACAAGTTATTCATTTTTAGGATGTATTTCTGAGGAGATTAGAAGTAAGATAAATCACTTGAATAAGGAAGAAAGAGCTTCCGAAACCTGGAGTTCAAAACTTTAAAGTTTTAAAAAATTGTGCAAGACCTGGTGCACTGCAAAAAATGGCTCGTCAGATAAACCTAAAAAAAGATCTTCATGTTGAAACAAGCAGTTCAACCAGTTTTATTTAACTCAAAAAAATGACATTGATTGAAAGAATTGTTCATTCAAAGTGTTTATTTAGGTTGAATAAAACTAGTTTAATTTCCCACATGAAGTAAATTTTTTAGGTTGAACTGACTAGAAATTTTTTATAGTGTAGACCACGAAAACTGTCATCATCAGATAAACAGCACTTAAAGCTTTCATCTTTGAGAGAAAGGAGAAAATCAAGCTCCACTCTTGCTTCAAATCTGAAAAAGTCCACAGGTGTTTCTGTCCATCTTTCCACTGTGAAAAGAAAACTGAACACTATGGGTCTGAAAGGATGTCATTAGGACACATCATAGCTGCCAAGAAGCTCTCACTGAGAAATGGAAATAGGCTAAAAAGAAGGAAATCAAAGAAGCTGCTGATGTTCTCAGAACAATGGACTGGCCACCCCAGAGTCCAGACCTCAACATCATTGAATGTCTTTAGGATTACTTGGATACTTGGAGAAGCAGAAAATGGAAACAACTTCTAATACTGAATTCTGGAGGTGTGGAAAAATATCCCTCCTGGTGGACAAACTAAATATTGAAATAGTTGATGTTATATTTAGTTGTTATTTTTCTATTATATATACGCTACCTTTCCAAAGTTTGGGATCACTGTTTTCATTCATATAAAACCTTTTTCATATAAAAAATCTCTTTGCTCAGTTTCATTCTTAGATGAAACTAATTTCTTACAAGTTTCAAACAGTTTATAGGAATCTGCAAAAATGAAGACATTTTTGATGATAAACGGAGCTGTAAGTGAATTCATGGTAATTGAGAAATCTGTACAGCATTGAAACTGACACCACCCACAGAGCCTCATATTTGAAAACCGATACCAAATCTCGCTAGTTAAACAGCTATTATTATACAGTATTTCTGTGACAACAAATTCCAATAAAAGAAAAATTATAGCGTATTATTTATACACTATATAATATACACACTTGCATATTTTTCTTACCATGTCCTAACTTTATGTTGTTGCCAAGTTACTGTAAACTGTGAATAAAGTAAACTGTGAATAAAGGTTTACATTTAGTGTCTAGTTTATAGCATTTCAATCTACACTGTATGAGTTATTACTGAATAACAATTATTATTATGACAAGTGACCCCAAACTTTTGCTTGGTAGTATATGTTTTCTGCTTTTTCCTGACACTGCAAAATTAATTACTCATACTTACTGGCTATTATGACTGGAAATAAATGAAGGGTCTAATTTTTGCACAGTACTGTATGTCAGACGCTGATGTTCATCAGCTGTTTTTGATATGTTTATCCTGTCTGTTCACTTAAAGGAGGAAAACCACAACAAATGATGATATTCTAACAAGACAATGCAGATGCCTCAAACTCAGGCACTCACTGATGTCTTGTGAGTCTATGTTGGGAAATGTGTGTAGAAGAAAAATCTAAACACTATGGATGGTGTGTGGACATCATTGACAATGTGCAGCAAGTCATTTCTCTAAAGGCCCATATCCTACACTTTTCTTGTATATATTTTTCCCTTATAATATTTGCATGGTTTGTGTACCAAAATTGGTCATAATTCATATTAACATGACACTTCTCAGCCTCTCTTTATCCCCTGGACTAAAAAGGCCTTTAAGACTGATATAAAATAAATGAGCTCTGTTCTGATTGGCTGTCCGGTATTGTGCCTCATTCAAAAAGCACTCAGAGCTGAAACACTCCTTATAACTGCAATGTAAATGGGCGGGGCCAAACTGCTGTAAGCTGAATAGGGGGATATATGTAGATGGTGGTTGGTTCGTCACAGAAACTCAAAATGGGTTATTTTGCAGCTTTATTTCCATATATGAACTGCATGGACTGGACAGTGAATGACACATTTTGAAACTGTGACAATGTTTACATATTACTTCAAACTCCTTTACTGCAAAAAAGCAAAGGAAATGAAATTTTACATGATATGAACCCTTTAAATGAATTGTTTTAAAGTGTGACAAAGCAGTGAAGGGTTACCTTCAGGTCTATAGACCTGCAAAATGCTAATAACCAGCAAAAAAAAAAAACCTCAAAGGTAATTTTTTGTAATGATAGCTGACACACCAAAAAAATAAGGGCAAAATAGGAAATACATAAAAATGTTTTATAATGTTTATCATTTTTGGTCACCGCTGCTCTTTTGCCCAATCCATGACACTAATTAAAGCAACTTACTGTACAGCATAAGGGGGTTGATAATTAGCATGAGGGGTGAATCAGGTGGGATAGAGCTGAGGGGCCCTGAAAAGTGCACTTCTATGCAGGATTCAATGGAGTTTTCACTGGATTTAAAACCCTGTTGCAGTATAATATTGGCCACTAGATGCCGCCAATAGACAACTAATGGCAAGAGACGGTCCATTCTCAAGGAGAGAGTCTGTTAGTGGAACCTCACCTTTTATACTTTTAAAATAAGGTTACTAAATCTCACAGCATTTTTACATTGAGGTGGACAGACATATTTTATAAATGATACTTCAAAAGCGAACAGGTTTTGAAATGGTGATTTTTTTTCTGAAGGATAATGAAGACTTTGGAAGAACCTCAACATTAATGAGGTTTGAATTGAATTCCTGGATAGCTTTAGCGTTAGGCTCGGTTTTATCGCTGCTAATTTCTAATTCCTGCATCTACTTCTGCATTTAGGGGGCTGTAGTAGTCACACATGCTTTTCCTTACTTACCCACAGTGTTTCATGTTCTGAGGTTTGTCCATGCGAACTGCTAATTTAATCCTCAGGTCACTGTCCGGGCAGCCCTTAGAGACAGTCATTTTGTGTAGCTCAGGCTGTTTGGGGCTGTTGGGAGTTGGGTGCAACACAACCTGTACACAGAGTAGAAACATTAGACAGAACTATGGATTGATACAGCGTGCCTTAACACATTTATTAATATTACTGATAGGTGATGATTAGTCTTAATGTCACAACATGTCTAATTAATACTTTCAGTTCATAACTGTGGTTCTAAAGGAGCTACACACCCTCCCTCATGATGCCTGTGCAGTTTTTTCCTCATATTCTCCCTGACAGGCAGCAGCCAAAAACAATGAGTCGACATTTATCTTACACAGGAACTGTATGAAAAAATAACGAGATGGATATTTTTCACTGCGTTCAGGCTAGACACAGCAGAATGAAGGCTTCCAGCAATAGGGCTGGGCATCCGTGGTCTAAACTGTTTTGCTAATCATCCTCGGTCACTCCCAGTACTCACAGACATGAGATTCCATTATCTATGCCATCACTCTCAAAACAATGAAGTCATTTGTAATGTGTATAAGAGCCTCCATCATTTCCTAATCTCATCTGAGGAAGTGATAGAGAGACAGAAATGGAGATGCAGAGAGAGAGAGAGAGAGAGAGAGAGAGAGAGAGAGACTGTGCCTGTGTGTGAAAGAGAAGACAGAGACCAGGCAGTGTATAGAATCTGTAGTTGGTCATATTTTAAAGCTGTGATGTTCACTGATCTGGGATCAGTTTAACATGTATTAACCCCACTAAACATAACCTGAACCTCTCAGATCAGTCTGAGTAAATAAAGCAGTGTTTTCCAGCCAGGGTTCTGGCCTAAACTAGCATTAAGAATGTTTTTAGTGTTAGTAAGCCGTGGTGCAGCAGTGTGTTCCTCAGCCTCATCGGTTTGACAGAATTCACAGTCTTATACTGTTATGTTTAGCTCATCTGTGTTCTCTCATTACAGTACCCAGCGTGCATTACGCATATGCAGCACACAACCACTGGGAATCCCTGTGGTGTCAACCAGTCTTAACTTCTAGCCTAGACAGTGATGTACAGGCTATCGAAGAACATCCAAATGAGCATTTGTGCTCTTACCTTAGTCATTAAACAAAATAGGCTTTTTCTTTATCAAAGACACAATTCAATTATAGAAAGCCTGTGGAGTCAGTAGTGCAGAGAAAGAAGCTAAACTGAGGGAATTTATCTGGATAATCCATTCTCTCCATTGAAACAATGATTTTAAAACAGTTACCGTAGTTCTTCGGTTGCAATATAAGGTATTTAGCTTTCCAACATTAATGTTAGTTACCTGCCTTCCATCTGCATTGTCAGCTAGCAACAATAAATAAATAGATAAATAGATAGATAGATAGATAGATGGATAGATAGATAGATAGATCTACCCACATCATCAGAATGGGGAGTCCTTATATTTAGGAGACGGAAGGATGCATGTAAGCATGTTTATAGCTGTAGCAATAATTACATTTTCCATTTTTACTGATGTGCCCCTTTAGGAAAATGTAAGCTGGCACTGATTACAAATCACACGGCTGGACACAAGAGCATTAGGGAGGTCAGGTACTGATGCTGGATGTTGAGTTTTGAATCACTCCAGCTCATCCCAGACGTATTGGATGGAGCTCCAGAATTCTAGAGAACGCAGTTCTGCTGCTCCACAGCCCAGTGCTGCTGGATGTATACCCTTCTAGGAACGCTTGGCATTGGTCATAGTCACCTTAGGCTCTTGTGCAGCTGTGTGTCTGAATACTTTTGGGCAGACAGTGTATGAGTCACTTATAATCATGATTGGGAACCACAAAGACAGAAAGGTCAGACCTGAGCAAAAATATATGATATAATAAATATATGATGTGAACATAGCCTTTGATTGTGTGTGTGTGTGTGTGTGTGTGTGTGTGTGTGTGTGTGTGTGTGTTTGTGTGTTTTACCCGTCCCAGCTCTTTATCTTCCAGTGCCAGCACTCCAGTACTCTCTGTGAAAAGTTTCACTTTCACAGCCGGGAGCGGATGAGTGGTGGTGAAGTCTCCCTGCGTTCCCCAGCTAGAGAGAGAGAGAGAGAGAGGGAGAGAGAGAGAGAGAGGGAGAGAGAGAGAGAGAGAGAGAGAGAGAGAGAGGGGAAGGAGAAAAGAAGAGAGGGAGAAAGACAGAAAGAGAGAGAGAATTTGAAGATATTTGAAGAAAGAAAAAGGGGGAGAGAGAGAGAGAGAAAGAGGAAGGGAGAGAGAGGCAGAAAAAAGATGGGGAGAGGAAGAGAAGATAAGAGGGAGAAAGAGAAAATTAGGGAGTAGGGAAAGAGATATAAAGAGATAAAGAAAGAAAAAGGGGAGAGAAAGAGACGGAAAAGGATACAGAAAGAAAGAGAAAGAAAGAAAGAGTTAGAAGAGAGGGAGAAAGAAAGAGAGACAGAGACAGTGAGAAGAGAGAGAGAGAGAGGAATGAAGAGAGAGAGAGAGAGAGAGATTATTGGAGTGATTATTAATGACGTTCTTCCTAATTAGGCTTGCTTTAGACTATGTATGTGTGTAATGACTCCACTGTCTATTCACACTGTTTCTATCATCAGTCTGCTGCCGGATCAGAAGCACTGTGTGTGTGTGTGTGTGTGTGTGTGTGTGTGTGTGTGCGTAAATGTGTCAGATGACACGTCTTTCAATCGTCAGTGTGTGTTATCTGCTCCTAGAGACAGCAGCTCAGTCTCTCACCACGGCTTCATCTGAACTTAAATTCTTTATTCAGTCTTCCAGCTGAGCTGTGCTGCTAAAGAAGAAGCCCAAAATGAAGTTTCCTGCTGAGGCTGCAGTGTCTGAAATACAGACAGCCACTGCCTACTGTACCAGTCAAAAGTCTGGATACACTGAACAGAATAATTCTTCATCTTAAAGTCATTTTAATATGAAGGTTTCTTGCAGAGGGTTCATGCTGCGCTTTTTTAAAAGATGAAAAAAATCACAAGGTGCACTGTTGGGGGTTCACAACAGCATCGTAACTGTCAGTCCTCGATGCTGGCAGTATGTACTTTTCAGTATGTACAGGCAGAAAGTTGAACTACTACTGGATAACTAGTATTAACAGTACCGCTTTACAGTAGGAATACCCTTATAAACCCTATATGAATGGTTTAAAAGTAGTGTATTATTTGTTATTAATAAGGGCATAAACACCTTAAAAAGCATTAAATAGAGAGAGGGAGACAGAAATAGGGAAGGGAGACAGAGAAAAAGAGGGGATGAGAGAGAAAATTATTTAATAGAAACAACAAGACATATAACAGATAAATAAAAAGGGTAAAAGTGACCTCTTAAATGTGATGAATATGAATATCTGATGAAGCTGACTGGTTTGACTGATCGAGAAGACAACATAAATAAGCAGCCAGCATCATCTGAAGTTTGTCAGTATAGATGGAAGTGGGTTCACTATTAGGCAAACAACAGGTCACTGTAACCCTTCTTATTTTTGTGTTGTAACTGCTTATTCAGTTTTAAGACCTTTAATGACCTAATTAATAACCATTAATGAACTCATTTTAAACTATTCATATACATAAAGACAGTCTTATTTTAAAGTGATACAGCAAAAACTAAACTACAAATACAGCTGCTTTTTCTTTATGTTGTGATTTCGGACTGCAACCACTAATCCCTCCGTTATAAATGGCACACAGGAAAAAGGTCAGGATGTAGAATATTTGACCTCTTTGTGTCCAGCTCAGGGCGCCCAAACAAAATACCACTGTGGAAAGGGGGCAAAAACAGTGCACGAAATGCATCTTTCCCCCCTTGAAATCAATTGGAAATATGCACCTCGGTCCACAAAAAACATGCCTCTCAGGTTTCTCTTCATAAAGCTGCTTGAAAGAATGATCAAGAGCAGGTAAAGCTGCAAAGGTGGGCTACTTTCTAACAGATTCTGAAATATAAGATATTTTGACTTGTATATGTTATGTATATTTTTATTACATATTTCCACAATGTGTTATTTCAAAGTCCTGAGGCTCTGGTGTTATTATAAATTGGTGATAGTAAAAATAATAAGAAAACTAAGTGACACTTTATTGTAGGGCACTGTAGGGTTCATAAGGCTGCATGACTCCTACATAAGCTCATCATGACAACTGACAAAAACCTACATAAACATTTATAAAGGCTTTTTCGAATAGGCCTTATTTGTCATGAAGGTTTCATTTGCCAGGTTTCACTTTCTGGGGTGAAAACACAGATTTTGAAGCTCAATTTATGTCACAGTGACATAATGTTGATACAGCAGGCCAGTGGCGCAGGAAGAAATACATCTTTGGGTAGGCCTGTAAAAAGTGGGTAGGCCAACTTGGTAGTCAGAAACAAATTCCAAATGTGCTAATGTACCGCAATGTTGCAGCTGTTGTACCTGTTCCTAACAGCATGCTCCGATGCTTCCTCCATGTGGTAATAACGCCATATTCTGGCGGTCAAACACAATGCTGGATTCACATAAGCACAACAACCACTGCAGCTCCTTTTAAAAAACATAAAAGACCGAATGTCGAGTAACTTCTTCCTGCTCAACTCAGACAAAACAGAGGTTCTTCTTCGTGGTCCAAAAGCTGCTAGAAACAAACTGTCTAATTTAACGCTTAAGCTTAATAGTTTCTCAGTTGCATCAGGTACATCTGTGAAAAACCTAGGTATCACGATAGATCCTGATCTGTCCTTCGATGCACATATAACCAATATTAGCAGAATAGCTTTCCTGCATCTCCGCAATATTGCTAAATTAAGGAATGCATTGTCTCTACGGGATGCAGAAAAGCTAGTTCATGCATTTATTACCTCAAGGCTGGATTACTGTAATGCCCTGCTGGCTGGATGTTCCAGCAAAAGTTCAGTTAGTCCAGTTAGTGGTGGTCATAGGAACCAGAGGTCTCTATGTCTATAGATATTGTATATAACACAAATATAGTCATTTTATTCACTTTCCAAAACCTCCCACAGTCCAAAGACATGCAGCCAGGCCGATTGGACATGCTAAAATTGCCCCTAGGTGTGAGTGACTGTGTGAATGTGTATGTCTGTCTGTCTGTCTGCCCTGGGATAGGCTCCAGCACCCCATCGCGACCCAGAAGGATAAGCGGTTTAGATGATATATATATATATATTAGGCCAAAACTTGATCTCAAAAATATCATAAAACAATCTGAAAAAATAAATTTTAAGAGGGGACTAATTTGCCTTACAATGCCTGCATTTAGCTCACTGCAATGAATGGATTTAAAATATATATATAAAACTATTGGAAAACAATGTCTCAGACATCAGCCAGTATATTCATCACCATTTCACGTAATAATTTTCTTTGAAGAGCTTTTAGTGGCAATTAAACTCTTCAGACATCTGGTTCCTATCATCACTGCTGTGAACAATTCAGACTTGGTTAGTTTCTTTAAACGCAGCTTTCAACACCAAACCACTCTAAATGACTTTGTTTACCTGTTAACGATTTAATTATGCAGAGTTTTTTTTTTAAAGGTGTGATTCCTCTTTCAACTGGGTCTTAGGTAAATTCTTGCATAGCACACATTGTTGCATTTTCAACTCAAATAAAAATGTCACTAGAAACTGTTGCAGCTGTCCTTGTCGATTCAGAAAGTACATTTCAATTTTTACAATTCTTTGTGATGTTTGGTTTTTATAACAAGACACAACTTCGCCAACTGAGCAGGAATATTCAGGCAGCAAAAGTGGCACATGCTGGAACAAGTTCCGTTTATGAATGGAGAGGAAACTGCACTCGCATGGCAAAACCAGCACATGTGCCTGTCGGATACCAGAGCGCACCCAGGAGTCTCCCAATGGAGTACACAATGGAGGGATTTGAACCTTTATTAGCTCTCAGTAATTCAGTTTTACAGTCCTTTGTCAGCTGTACATGGTGACAGCTGTAACAGTTCAGAGAAGCCTGGCGGAGTGGGCAGTGACCCATTTAATGAGGGCTGAAATCACTGTTCCACGTCGCCCCCGCAAAAGCCACTAGAGGAATGATTCGGAGTGGACGTAGTTACAAACATGTGACTTTCGTTCTCATAATGTCGACACTTGTTAGAAAACCTCTTTCCATCACTGCTTTATAAAATTTAATCTATACGATATTTAATCTATAGGGATAAACCAACTTTTCCACATCCAAGCTTAAAAACTTATTTTGACAACTTTTCTTTTTTTTGGAATTTCTGGCCTCTTATCCAGGATTTTTAATGCACATTTTCATAATTCACAAAAAAGAAGTGGATGGTAAACCTACTGAAAAAAGGAAATAGACAAAAAAGAAGAAAATCAAGCAGATGTTCTCAGAACAATGGACTAGCCACCCCAGAGCCCAGACTTCAACATCTTTAAATATGTTTAGGACTACCTGGATCCCGAGAAGCAGAAAATGCAACCAACTTGTAATACCAAACTTTGGAGGTGCAGAAAAATATACCTGCCAATTTTTTTTTGAAAAGTTGAAAGCAAATCTCCCAAAAACAACAGACTCTGTAATAAAGGCAAAGAGTGGACACACTTAATATTGAAAAATATGATATATTTTGTAATTGAGGCTTCTGTAAATACATTTTTCTTCTTTCAGATGCTCAAAATGGAATAACATATATATAATCAGCTGTTTTGACTGGAACCCTAATAAATGAAGGGTGCTCTCTAACCTTTGCAAGGTACCCTATATGTACATGCATGTGTGTGTATGCATCCAGCACATGTGTGTGTGATCTCCAGAGATGAAGAGGGCAATCAGCAGTGCACTGGAGATCTGAGTGCAGAGAGACAGGTCGCCATAGCAACCTCTCTCAGCCCAGTTCCCTGCAGAATGCCTGGGGTGAGCCCGGGGCCACATGGGCACAATGTGTATGTGTGCATGTGTGTCAGTTTGAAGTCAGTTTCTGATCACGGTTTCTGTGAGTCATAATAACAGAACATTCATCTATAGTCTTATTTTAAGATGTTCTTTAAAGCACAAACAGTTCTTTAAATAAGAACTGTAGTAATAATAGTATACGCCAGAGTGCA